CTAAACCAGCCTCCAAATTAATCTGGCATCTGCACAATTTACAGCACTACCCAAAGGATGCTGAGGCAGTGCAATTCCCAGAAAATGGCAGAAATAAATAAAAATGGTGTTTCTACATCATTTTGATGGCATAACAACCATTACCATTTCTAATCCTATGGTAAATGTTTTCAAAGTGTGACTCAAAGGGAGAACTTTCAAAGAAGAGTTAACAAATCGTTTTATGWCTCAAAAACTATAGATGTTTGAGGGTATATTAAAATAGATCAGTTTATTTAGCTTCTCGCAGACAAGATGAAAAGATGTTTTAATCAGCRTCTCTAAGGAAGTGTGAAGGGGAGTGACACCTGACACGAAACATTTCTTTCATCTATCAAACATAGAAGCAAAGACCCCAAAGTTAAATGTTGATGTCTGCAGAATTCAAACTGTAAATTAGGTGCAAATTCTTTACAAGGATGGTACTTACACACCATAAGACATAGCCAAAGGATATGGTAAATTTTCTATCATTTGAAGTCTTTAAAGCTAGATAAAATATCTTTCTAGAAAATTTATTTTATCTAGCTTTCGTTACTTTTTGGGTTAGCTGTTTTTTATAGCCTCTCGTAAGCAAGACCTCAGTGATCATATTCTGTTGAGGCTTCAAAATGTAGGAAATGTGATAGTTAGGTGTGATTCTACAGCAACAATAACAATGGAAGATGAAATTATAGCCTCACTGTCAATGAGAAAGTTCCCATTCACTTTAATGAGAACAAATTTTAATCTTCAATTATAAAATCTTTGATATATTCATTGCATTTAAGATGGGGATTATATGCAGACTGCTTTGTTCCACTTCCTCCATTTTATTTTATTGCTATTATTTTTAYCATTTTATTTTGTTATTCAGATTACTTTTGAATTAAGTTTGWATGATTTACATTTTTAAAGCATCTAGGAACTTGCAATTGTTCTTTCTTTTCAAGTAATGCAGAGCTCAAAATGGAAATGGTCTTGCAAAAATTCTGTTTCTTTTTTATTTCATCTGGGTAAGGGTCAAATATTGCATTGATCATTTTTCACRAAGATGGGCATATTGTGTTGCTTGCCTCTGGTGAAGCTGGAAAAGGGAGATTTGCACAAATACATTTTCTGGGTTATTCYCAGCCTTAGGAACAGCTGAGTTCAGGTCAAGATTTCCATAAAGACTCATAATTTAGCTCATTTTGAGTGGAGTCAGCAATTACCACTAAGAATACATGGCATTGYTGTGTGCAGCYCCTCCACCACAGTTTGACAWATTGTGCAAGCCTGAAAGAGAGAACTGTCAGCTGTCCTGTGTGGCCTKAGAAGATGTGCAGTGGCTGCTGAGRGCTGTCCTGAAAGCATGCTCAYAGTTTTGGACAGTTTCTTCAGAGCCCTGAAGAAGTTGCTCAGGTAGAATCCTTTTCAGGAACAAAGAAGGAATTACAACTTGTGACTCATAACCCATAACCAGAAACAGCTTTAAAGGAGGGATGGAGAGCTGGACACCTGTTGAGAATGTTCAAGTTAGGAAGCTGATACCCCCAGTCTAAGTCTGTCKACTTTCAGCTTTATTCCACTAACAATCAAAGTACATCATAGTTTYCCCCCTTTTTTTCCYCTTTTCTTTTTTCTTTGTAGTGGGCTGATCTACCTTTGTGCAACAGAACAGAAAAATCTCTGATCCAGATTCCATCCTGATTTTACTTTGGGGACATGCAAAGAAGCAGAAGGTATGAATCTTCCACTAAGGATGCAACTATCACAGTTCTTAAAGGTACGATTTAAAGCCTGCTGGAGGCAATGGAAGGCCTTTCATTTACTTCAATGGGCTTTGGATCAGAACCTCTGCTAGGGAGCTTTTGTCCTTGGCTTTCTTCAAAGAAGATTTTACTGATGTGTGAATAGTGTTAATCATCTGTGAACACTTGGTAAAGAGTGATCTGGTTTTTATGATATGTAAAACACCCCGCTGAAGCATGAAATCTTTTAATGAAGTCAAACAAAGTAAAACTTGCCCTCCATAACCTAAAGCTCAGCTCTTGAAATGTCATGTACTGGAATCATGAATTCCCCATCTGTCAGTCCTGCCTTTTTCTTGCCTCAGGTGAAATAATGTAGCTGTGGAGGTGTGCCATRATTACTAGTKTCTGGTATTWTAGGAGAGGGGAAGGGTAGGAATTRTTACWATCAAATGTTAATTTTGTCCACCTCATGGAAACAGCAGAAAATGAGCGTATCTTTGTCCCTGAGTTTATGTAATTTGCTTTTCCTGATACATAAATCRACTGTAATCCTTAATCTTATCCTTGAGAAACAACTGGCGACACAAYTGAGAGCTTATTATTTAATGTAGAACTAACTATTGATTTGTCTGCAGCCAGCAAGTGTATAAAACTGAAACATAAAAACCATTTGACAGAGCCTTTGCTATTACATTTAGTCTTGACTTGATGGTATGTTAGGAATACTGATGCAATTATAATAAAAAAATAATATTAAATATTTGTTCCTGGGCTTTCTTAGCTATCTTATGTACCTATAGTACTGTGGATATATTAATTTCAAATCCTGCCTCAATTTCTGATTTTATGTATGTAATCAGTGGTCTCCTGTCTGCCAGCATGGGATGAAGTCTCATAGAGTTCATTAATGAGTCTTTTTTCATATTTATATGTAAGTGAAACTCCTGAGAATCAAGATAAAACTCTGGTTCACACAGTTCGTATGGTTGCAATTTATTGCCTGTCTTCAGATTTTTTAAATCTCTCTGGCACTGCAGGGTTATTACAGTAAGTTAGAAAGACAGGTATTCTAAGTATGAACTTGCTGTTAAGATCTCAAAAATACTGAGTGCTCTTGAATTGAAGCTTTGATGAGAAATAAATCCTTCTTGTGACACTTTTATGCCATGTAGAGATGTGGAAGTGTGAGCAACAGCACCTGGCAAGCAAGCTGTCTTCTTTAAAAGCAAGCAAACCAGCTGCTCATCAGGTTGGAGTAGGATTTAGCAGGAAATAAAAGTCTACTCAAATGTTCATAGCTCAGATCTGCAAGAGAAAACTCATACTTTACGATTTGTCCTCTGGATACTGAGAAAAACTGTATTTATATCTAGTGTATTTTCAAACACTGTGATGAGCTCATTTTTGAAAACAGGAGTAATTTCCAAGTGAGCAATCTACTGAGCAGATTCATTTCTGCTCATATCCGTTGTCTCATTTACAGAATGTAACCAGCTAAATAATAAAATGAACTTATAAAGAATAAGCAAAATTTGATAGAAATAGTCTCTTTGAGGACACAGTGRGGATAGGATTTCTGGATTTGCTTTGAATGGGTCCCTTCTTTCCCTATTCTTGCATGTGCACCAGACAGATCAGCACATTTATGAAGCCTCAAATATGTCTGCTTTCTRGTTACATAAACCAGCTGCATTTTAAGAACTTACAATAGATTAAAAAAATTTTACCCCAGCAGAGAAACACTAACKAATGTGTTTCTGCCTTCTCAAAGTCCTAGATAGGCATCAGTCTATAAAACACTGGGAAAAATTATTGGCAACCAAGTTTGGGTGAGTTGATGCAAGGCTGGACATTTAATTGTGTACGCATTTTCCAACTGGGCAAGGTATCTCATCTGATCCCTCTGGAAAATAATGGATTCAGTTTTACTGATTCCTAAATCAGCCAGTTATGTGTCCATAGGAAACATGCTATACTTCCCCAAAATAGAATCATTTAACACCAGAGGGGCACCAAACTATAGGTTTTCCATTTAGCTGTAGGTGAAATTAATGCAACAGCATGCAAGGCAGACACTTATATTAATATTTAGCCCTCCCAATCTCCAAAAGCCTGAAAAGAGTTTGGAAGTATCACCTACATATTTTTTAGGTTATTTGGCATTTTGTGAATAATTTTGTGACAATTTTACTTCAATGCAGTCAGTGTTGTTTTGAGTACTGAGAGCCTCAGACAAATGGCATACTGCACTGAAAAGTTTCCTTTTTATACCTTGAAAAATAATTGTCAGGGATTTATTTTAATCTTAAGGTAGATAATACTGTGATGGCTACTATCCTTCACCTTTTGGCTTGGTTCCCAAGGAAACTTCCCATTTTTATATTTCATTATTGGTTATTGGTTTTGGTTTGCATCTTCTGAAGTAACAAATGCAGATTAATGCATCCCATCCACCTGACTCTCCTGCTGACAAAACATTTACACCCTGCTCGCAATCTCCGTGTTTGCAGATGTGACAAGCAGGGAATAAAAAGAGAGCTCTGTAATGACCCCGGAGAGGAGGCTGCCTGGAAACACTGATTGCTTCTTGCAGTGCCCCCCTCAGTTATTTAAATAGTATTATACTATCCCAAAGTTTCATAAACTGAGATATAGAGAGATGAAGTTCCAACCTATGCTAGACCAGAACCTAAATAGACCTAAATAAAGAAGAGGTATGTACCTTCAGCAATACTCTCTGTCCCAGACTCATGTCACACAAACTCTTAAGCATCTGCTCATCTTTGCAAAACAACTCTTGCGATTTCACTGGACTCTGGTGTAAATTAAAATTTAAAGACATTCTCCTTTGCAGACTCAGGACTTAGGGAATGATATTATYTGCATCAGGCTTCACTGGCATTTTAGATGCTGTAGGGYATCCCTCCYGGCTTCCAGCTGCTGCTCCAGAATGGCACAGGTTTATCCTAAGTCCCATGTYATCTATCAGCCCAGATGTCTCAGATGCCCTCGAGCATCTACAGTGACACCTGTATTAGCCCAGCTGTCATCGCACTAAAGTGAGGTTTTCAGAGCAACATGAGCTGATACAACACAGGGAGTGAATGGCTTTTATTAACTCCTAGGAGTGTGATCTGAAACCCCATCTACTCTACTTTTTGTTTTCTAAATTTCATTGATYTTTTCAGAGGAATGGAGACCCATCAGAAAACAAAATGCTACAAGTAATGGAAGTGAAGAGCTTACCTGCAGTATGATGTCCCGTCCGTTCCGTGTGACATTAACAGTGTGGGGCTGYCCATTGGCCATGTTTCTGTGGTCAATGTCAATGTTATATGGCTCTTTGGTGCCCCCGAGGTTGTACCGAATTTGCAGACTCCCTAGAAAGAAAGAAAAGATGTGAAAAGCACCCTCAGGTATTTTGATCTTTATTCACCAGCTATTTCCCCCTCTTTATTTTCACATACAGCTGTTATCATTTCACACTTAATTGCTCTCATAGTTGGTCTCTGCAGTAAGAGAAGAGCTGGTGTTTGAGATGATAAAGTTACTGGGCTGAAACTGCCTCCAGTTTATAACCCAGAAGTGTGACAATGACCAGCATCTCCAAACCACAGTGTTTGTAAACACTCCAGACTGCAAACCAAACAAATTGGAGTTATGCCTTGAACAATATGGACAATTGGTACAAAATTGAGCACATCAATAACACTTTATTGTTGAGATGATTGTACTTGCTGCAGTAAAATTCTTCTAAATTATACAAAGCATAACATTTTCTAAAGAATAAACCATTGACATGCATTGAATAAAGGCAAAATTAGAACAAATTAGCACTGACACAGAAATCACACAAGGGACTTTCTTGCTCACATGTTTAATTGTTGTTGATTGGTGACCGTCTGGACTTCCATTGAAATTTAATATTATGTTGGGAAATGAAAACTTCAGGTTACGTTGTTAGATAAGTATAGTCAGAAGTGGTTAATTGATATTCATAACACACTGCCAGACAGATTTTTCTTTTCTAAACAGAAGTGAAGGGTCTGCTCTTCATAACACATTTAAATATTTGATTAAAAGGAAGAATGTTTGAAAAGGGAAATGCAGCCCCTACTCTTGATGAAAAATGGAAATATTCTGGCCMAAAAGAGCAGACTTAGACCTTTATAACTATGGTTTAGTCATGTGATGCCGGATTTCTCTCATGCACTCTCTTTCTTTCTCATGAAGAGGAAAAAAATGACTGGCATTACTCATCCCATAAAGAATACTCATCCCATAAAAGAGAACAGTAGCAAAATCATCCTAATTAAGATTTTCATGAGGCACTAAGGCACTATTTGAAATAGAWGTATATTCAGTTTACATATAGTTTTAATGCTGTAGCAGCAAATGGTCCATATCCAACCTTCAACCATCACCAAAATGTTTAGGACATTATACACTATAGCACACCCCGTGAGTGTCCAGATTTTCAGAATAACAGTACTTAACACTTTCCACTGACTACTAGTGACATTGCAAGGAATTCAGCTATTCAGGTGCCTTCATGTGGATGCTTACTTGTCCCCACCATAATGCTGATTCAAGGCATGGGTCTGACTGTTGTAGCAGGTTTTGGGTTTCTTTTGCTTGTTTGGTTTGGTTTTGTTTWGTGAGGGAGGATTGGCTAAAGAAACACCACCATGGTTAACAGTTACATCAGCACCAAATCTAGCAGAAGCAGAATACAGGTTCAGATTTCTAAGTGCTTTACTTTTACATGGCAAGAGTGAAGAGACTTTCTTCTTCGTCCAGAGCTTCCCTTGGATGTCAGCCTGGCATTGTCAATTGTTCCTGCAGTGGAGGGAGCCCAGAGCAGTTCCTTACCAGTCGGTTTCACGAGCACAGCYATGAAGTCCGGGGTGTAGGAGCTGACGTACAATAAGACACAAGGGGCCTTGGTGGTGCTGAAGCTGAAGCTGAGCTCTTCTTTGTTCAGGCTGAGGTCAGGCACTGTGATCTCAGGGTCTGCAGAGCTCAAAAGTGTCCGGCTGACTAAATCCTTCATGCTAGTTCCTGGGGAGTGGAAGTTGTAACGAAGCCACATTCCTTCTTCAAAAAATGCTCCCACATCTTGAACAGAACAGAAAATGGAGGATGAAAAAGAAAAAATTAAACATTCTGACACCTTTTGGCTGAAACATATTACTGTGACTTGATCAGTACTAATCTGTGCACATTTCTACTGTCGCATTTAAGCACATTATTTAGGTCAAGAGCCTCACTRTTTTCCTATGAGAATGAGAAGAAAAATTTCCATTTTATTGGTGGGTACCTGGCTTCACAGAGCAAAGGAAAGATTTCCTTTTGGGTTCACAGAACGCCTGTGCCTATTGCTTATATCAATACTACAGACAAGAATAATTATGCTTTAATTTTTTTCTAATTGAAATTTTGCAGTAGATAGTAGTCCAAAGAAGGAGGTCCAAGGAAGAGTGTTTTGAGGGACACAGTAAACAAACAACAGTCAAGGAAAAGGAAAACCAGAAGTTCTAACTAACAAATTTGAGTGGATTTGGAAAGATCTCACAAAGGAATAATGGCAATTCCAGACCCTGAAAGGACTGGACACAATGSTAGCACGTTATCCACTGCTAGCACAGTTCTTCATGAGCGCTCCATAAGGAGACTGCCCTTATGGGAAATGATAAAATTTACTAGGGACCTTGACTAAGCTGAGAACAAGAGGCAAGAAATACCTGAACTGTAGATCCCAGGGGGTGCTATCTAGATGAAGCTTTCAAACCAATCTGAGACAAGATGTAATGTTTCAACACCCCTGACAGAACACAAACCTACTTTTGACAGAATTAATGTTTTCAGCTGAAAAAGCACTAGTATTGCTTCTCATTATAATGCAGTCCAGCTTATTTTTAAACATTAAAATCATATTTCCAGACTGTTACTGCTGACTTTGATAAACTCCTACAGGAATTACTGCACAGTTGCCTACCACTGTGGAGTAGGTGTCACCTACTCCACTGGGGATCACTTGATTGACTTCCTATGGCAGTCATTCATTTGGAGACATCRTGGTACTGCATCAGCTGTGCCATCTGGGACAACAACATTAAAGGAAATTTTTAAACTATATGTGACCTTGATTAAGATGGTGTGTTTAAGAACATTTCATGAGAGAGTAAATAATTATTAATAAACATTAGAATAATAATATATGAGTACTGTATTCAAAGAAGGATTATGTTAAATGCTTAAAACCATAAACAGTCTTTAAACAAGTATCTCATTGTTTACTACTTTCCTACATGATGCAAAGTTGTCATAGTTTTGAGCAAAATTGCCTGTCTAAACAAAAAAAAAATTTATTCTGTTTTAGTTCTGTTTTAGTTCTGTTTTAGTTCTGTTTTATTCTGTTTATTGTGAATCCTCACACAATTCTAAGCAAAGGTTTTATCTCAAAACACATGAGAGAAGATGCCTATTTTTCAAGATCTACACAGAGACAGAGCAAGTCAGGGAAGAGCCTGCAGAATTCATTCAGAGGAGCTGAGCAGAGAACAGTTAGGAGGATAGGTAGAATAATTATATTTCCATAATTTTGCTAAATCTAGTGCTGGAAAAGCTTTATATTTTCTTGCTACCATATAAAAATTCTTCAAAACTCAAAATATCACCATCACTGTCACCATATGGACATATAAAACACAGAGCCAAGCTGCGGTCCCAAAGCGCTATAAATAATTCGATCATTCTGATGGATTTATATCTGCAATTTTATAGAAGAAAACTTAAATCACCCTGAAAAAGTTATGGGAGAGGCAATTTCATTTAACGGCTATATTTTGCAGTAGTCTCAACTTTAGTGCTCCTGGATTAAAAGTGAAGGGCCGTGTCATGAAGAAACTTCCCCAACCTGTGATGCTCTCTGCCATCAACAGTGGTGTAGGAAACAAGCGTTAGCATGCAAAAATATAAAAGCAGAAGCTCCAAGTATTTGCAAGATGGCCTTAAAAATATCCCTATGACCACCAATTTATTCTTCAGCCCCTGCTTCTGGGTCACCCAAGCTGCTTCTGGGGCGGATGTTTTACCAATTTTGCAGCCGTGGCACTGGCAGAGCTGCCTGCTGTGCCGGGTCCTGACACTGCCACCGCTGATGGGGACAGCAGCCCCCGTGGAGGCTCCACACACACAGCACACTGATGCAAAATTGTGTTTGCCTCCAGCCTGTTYACTGCTTGTCATGCCTTTCATTTTAGGAGTAATCTTTGGAATTGCCTGGTGCTATGCTTGCCCAGGGCCTCACGCTCTGGGAATACTGGGAACTTCAGTCCTGACCTCAGCACTGCTCTGGGGCTAAACTGGMAGTGTGTGAAGCATTTTTCCAGAGCTGCAAATGTTATAAATTGCTWTGTTAAATGTTCATTACTACAAAGAAAGCTTTAAGTAAAGTGTGCTCTCTGAAATGATATTCAGATTATTCTGCAATTCTGTGAGGTGAACTCAATCATMCTTGTGGGCCCCTTCCARCTCACAAAGCTCTATTCTATGACTTTTTTTCCCAAAAGGGTTTCATGACAGAGMAAAGAATGTTTTGTAYGTTTAAYTTGATTTKTGCTGAAAAAATAATTTTCAGTGTAGCTGTATTATTACAGGCATACAGGGTATTGTAATGAACCTTGAAATTCTCCTCGCATGCACATCACCTCTTTTGAAAGGCAGGATAAGAGGAAGGTTCACTTTGGTTTTGGGAGTGTATTGGGCCCTCAATAGGAAGATATTAAATYCTTTCAAGTTCCTGCTCATCAAAGAGGTTGATGCAGATGATTATGCTCTTTACTGCAAGAAGCTGAAATCCTTGYAGCAGGACTGCAAAGTGCTCAGCAACTCACAGGAGATGGCTGTTTGAACTATYAGGACTTAAAATAGCTAAAAATAGCTAAAAGGAAATGTTCTCTATGTTGAATGCAGTTATATGATCCCTTGTAAATGCTGAGAGCTGGCCCATGAATAAACTATCTAACTGGAAGTCACCAGTGTTGTGTCTCCCTGAAGCTCTGCTAGGAAGAGCCTTCCTTTGTCCTTTGTCGAGAAAACCATTCAAACTGCTTGAATAAAGAGGGTCAAAWGCAGCACAAACCCTCCTGCTGCGATGTGGGGGAAGTTTCCATGCACAGCTCTCTTCTCTTCTGTAATATTTGAAATTCTGTCTGAAAAGATGGCTCTTGGGACATCAGGCATGAGCTGAAGCGAAGGCTGCTCTGCAAACTGCCCTTTCAAGGCAGAAGCCTTAGGGAAATGAGTGGGGTGGTAAGAGATCTGTTTTCTTCAGAAAGTAATACCCGTTTCTACACCATTATGTGGTGCAGTCACTCTCTGTTGACAGACTTTTCAAATATAAACACTTTGGGCTGGCTTTGTGGATCATAAGAAACAATTTAATCAAGATGCACAGCCCCCATGTGAGCCCCAGTGTGAGTGCTCATAAGTTACAAAATTGTCCAKCTGCAATTTGGAAAGGGGTGAAGCAAAAGCTGATCCAAAACTTCCACAGAAAATGCACATGCACCCAGAACTGACAACGTTATTCTGAAGGCTATGATTCTTTGATTATCTCCACAGTCTCCCTCTCCTCACTTTTGTTTTTGTACACTCTCATTCTGTCTGAGATCAGGGGTATTGAAAGACTGGAAGAAAAAGCCAAATAACAACAAAAAAACCCAATTTCTCCTACAAAACTTGCAAAGTCTCATGACATTTCTGGGCCAGGGCTGTACACCTAAGAAAATGTAAGTAGGAATCTGATTCTCCTCTACTGCTTTTTACATCAGTGAAATGTCAGTGTTGGTTCTTCTGTTCTTAGGTAGTTATAATGATTCTGATAGCCGTACAGTCAAACACATAGGGAACTTGTCTTCTTTCTCCACAGCCTTTTTCTTGCCTCTGAAAAGCATTGCCAGCATGGACAGGTGTGGCTGAACACAGCTTCAGCACGATTTTCTATCTGGGAGCATATATATAAGAGATACAGAACTCGGCAGGATTTACAGCAATTGAGTTTGCTCTATGCTGACAGTCGAATTAGGAAGGTTAATGGAAATTTCTATGAATCAAGCACCATATATTACTCCCAATATATAAAGGAACTGCAGATCTGTGGAGCTAACAAAAAAAACCCCAAACCACAACCCCAAAACACCCAACTTAAACACAGGGCCTTTTCAAGAGTGGCATCATAAAAAGTGGAATATCTCTTCTTTAGTAGGACAGCTCTCACTGACTCAAACTGCCATCTCATATTTTTCCAAGTAAACTGGATCTTATTTCTGTCACCTTTTACCTGGAGACCAAGGAGAAAGTAGTGYTGTTTATTTACTTAATGGGCATGACAAGGTATATCTGACTTGCAGAAGCTGGAGACAAAATTCTGACTACTGTGAAGCTTGTCAAGGACATGAGAAGTGGAGCAGGAAAAGACTCTCCCGTCTTTGCTTCACAAAGCTGACTGAAATGATTTCTTGCAGCTGTAGGCATGTCCCATCTGGAGGCCCTAAATGCTTTCTTGGCCCTGCTCAGATTCTGTAAATTAAAATTATTACTCTGTGATGCCACTTGCCAGTGCTCAATGGATGCGAAAAGCAGCTTTTTCAAAATCCTAAGCAAGGACAGTCACTGGAGGTGTTCTAACTCTTGGTGCATGTACAAAGATCCTTCAGACAAGATAGCCAGTTGAACAAGCCCTCTTTATTTTGGCATTATTTCCTTTCTTTTTTCATTTTACATATAGTTATGAATATTGAATATAGATTAACCAGAGCTTGTTTGTTCATCTTATGGCAAAAAAATTGCTAGGGAATACCTAAATTTGCTGCTACTTCCAGACTGTTGTCACAAAGACTAAGACTTGTTTGCTGAGATACCTTCTGGCAATAGAGCATCAGCAAAGGGTCAGAATCAAACAACTGTTGATCTGGGAGAGAATTTGAATGCTCTGAAGGTGACAACGCTTATCATTTATCTGGTTAGCTCACTCAATATTTTGTTCTGCCTTCAGGCACATTTAATATGTGAAATCAATAAGTGGGGATTTAAACGTATTCTTCCACATCCTC